TTGTAGGCTATCCCAGCCAAATATTGTGCTATCCTAACAAACCATACATTAGTGGAAAGCTCATTTATTCAGCTTTAATATAATTTACTCTAATGACTGGTTTTGTGGTCCAGGGTCACATACTGTCCTGTCCAAAGTCTCCAATTGCTTATATTATGATAGTCAACCCTGTTACACCACTTATCATAATGTTTACTATCTAAAAAGTAATTAATTACTCACAATGTCATAGAATGGAAGAGTCCAAAAAATGCATTACGATGAACACTAAACATGCTTCCATACAAACATTAAAATGAGTGAAAATGCAGGAAGAGAAGGTTTCTCCTCCACAGGGAATAGCTGTTTCCTTTCACAGTAATCAAGATGAAGCCTGTTAATGCAGGAATGCAGGAAAGATGAGTAAATAAACAGCAGCTCTGAGGTCTGTGTGTCCTGCAGCGATGCATCTCTTCACAGGGATTGAGAATAAAGCTTCAAATCCACGAAATGTTACACAACTAGGGTTCTGGACCAGGATTACATAACAGGCCCTCAGGATGACATAAGTGAGACCAGGACTAGATGTCACACTTCTTCTTTTTTATCACAATAAAAATTAAAAAATCAAAATAAATTAATAAAAATAAATCAATAAATAAAATTACAGAAATATGGTGATACTGTAATTCATTTGTAAGACAGAATTCAGAAAAATTACTAAAATTTCAGATTGTTTTAATTAACTAGTAGATATTTACAACGAAATGATGCGAATGAGTGATCTTGTGCTGTATTCATCACTCAGCATCAAACACACCACACATATCTACAAGCCTTTATTTCAAAATATAAAAATAGCAAATAGAATTCATTCATCTTATAGTTGCAACGGTGGCATAAAATTGTTTGCATTTTGTCCTTAATGAGTTATTATAAATCATCTTAAAATAAACCAGCTGTACAATGTAAACAACATACTGTATGTTACAGAAACAGAACTTTAAATTCATCAGAGAGTGTATAAGACCGTTTCTGCCACAGAAGAAAAACTCATTATAAAGGTAATTGCAACTTTTTATCTCACAATTCTGACTTTTATTCTTGCAATTCTGAGTTTATATCATACAGTTCAGATTTTTTTTGTGGTGTTTGCATATATATATATATCCAGGTGCATCTCAATAAATTAGAATGTCGTGGAAAAGTTCATTTATTTCAGTAATTCAACTCAAATTGTGAAACTCGTGTATTAAACAAATTCAATGCACACAGACTGAAGTAGTTTAAGTCTTTGGTTCTTTTAATTGTGATGATTTTGGCTCACATTTAACAAAAACCCACCAATTCACTATCTCAACAAATTAGAATACTTCATAAGACCAATAAAAAAAACATTTTTAGTGAATTGTTGGCCTTCTGGAAAGTATGTTCATTTACTGTACATGTACTCAATACCTTACTGAAGTCGGTCAATCAGATTCTAGGCAGATCTTGCGGTGTGCATCAGTTTGTGAGTTTTGACCAAGCGGCAACCTCCCGCTCTCTCTCGTGAAGCCAACACGGAAGTGACTTAAGCTGTAATTCATCAACTGGCCGCTAGAGACTGGCTGCAAAAGGGAGTCCATCCCATAGACTCCCCATGTTAAAATGCCCAACTTTACAGCAGAAAAAAACATGTTTACAGCCTGGTTCAAAAAATGATTTTGGTCTATATAGCTAATTTTGCCCTTCATGACAACTGTGAGGGGGGTGAATTTTTTTATAACTCTTTAGATATTTGTACAAAACAAAAATACTGATTAGGAAAGTAATTTTTTTTTGCAGTGTAGGAAATGAGACGTTACATGTCTTCATTATTTCAGATTTGTAATATTTAATAATTTAATAAAGTCTCTTCTGCTCACCAAGGCTGCATTTATTTGATCAAAAATACAGTAAAAATTGTGAAATATTATAAAAATTTAAGATATCTTCTTTCTATGTGAATATCTGTTAAACTGTAATTTATTCCTGTGATGCGCAGCTGTATTTTCAGCATCATTACTCCAGTCTTCAGCGTCACATGATCTTCAGAAATCAGTATAATATGCTGAGAAACATTTCTGATTATTATCAATGTTGAAAACAGTCGTGCTGCCCGATATTTTTGTGGAAACCGTGATACGTTTTATTTTTCGGGATTCACAGATGAATAGAAAGTTCAAAAGAGCAGCATTTATTTGAAATATTATTTTTTTGTAACATTATAAATGTCTCTACTGTCACTTCTGATCAATTCAATGCATCCTTGATGAATAAACGTATTCATTTCATGCGCTGATGAACTGGAATTGAGTCCAGAGACACAGCTGGTCTTACTGTGAAACTGCGGCGCGGTGCGCAGGACAGCAGGGTTCACATAGTGCTCGATGAAGACAAACAAGACCACAAGAATGAGGAGGAACATCCCAATGACAGCAGACGAGACGGTTATGAAGAAGAACCTGGGAAAAAACAGTCATTCCTATATGAACATTCAGACACTGTCAAACATCTTTAAAGAGACAAAAATATGCAAATGCTGCTTCTACATTTGTGTTATCAAATGGCACTTCTGCTCACCTGTAGTTCCTTCCTCCCACACAGTTGTTTAGCCATTTGCAGTGATGGTCGAAGTCTGCGATGCATTTGTTGCAGGTGCTGCAGTGTTTGGCTTTAGGTCCGCTGTGAAGGGAGAAGCCGATTACTCACTAAAGCAAACGGTTAGGACGTTTGTCTGGACAAATAACATTGCTGTAGAAGAGCTGTGTGCCATTCACAAATGAACTGAGAATTTCTATTCTTAAATTTGAATTGAGGTAGAAAACATGGATGCTGAAATGCAATTTAAGAAAATAAAATTAAAATGGAACATTGTTATTGTCAACTAAAACTATTGTTTTTGTTGATTAAAATTAAGCTGAAATAAAGCAAAATATACAGTAAATATATGATGAAAAATGTATTTCTACTAACTGAAATAAATGTTTAAGTTGACAATCAAATTACTCAAACTGAAATAAAATAAAGATAAATAGAAATAAAAAACGACAAAAATGACAAAATTGCTGTAACTTAAACAAATTAAAATATATTTTTAAAAGGTTAATTCAAAATATTAATAATTACTACAGTAGTATATAA